CTCTCTCTCTCTCTCTCTCTCTCTCTCTCTCTCTCTCTCTCTCTCTCTCTGCTGTCTGTCAAAGACTTTCGATTTAATCTCCTTGTCCGCGACAGGCAACTTCACGGACCACGAGGGGCCAAGGATGAGGGGGCGGGGAGTCAAATCGAAGCGTAAACGTGCAACTTTTTCCTCTCAGTTGGGGGGGGAGGGGGGGCAGAACGCAGAAACGGAACAATGGTATTTCGTAATTGCATCAGGAGATGGAAAACAGCGAAACTCGAGGTCCCTCTATTTCTCCGTGTGCTCCTCAGGTTGCGAATCGATTCTTACCGTGACGAATCGCGTTCCACTTTCTTTCTTACGGCGCCTCGTTCTCAGGAAATCTAACGACTGATTGCCCACGACCGAAACGGGGCCACGTGTGCACGGGCCCCTCTCCGCGAGACGAAGAGGCGCTTCAGGTGCTGCTGGCGAAGGTTAGGATACAACTTTATTCTCATTTGATCTGCAAAATTAGTTTTCATACTTTTCAAAGAGTAAAATGAGTTACTTGCCAATTATAAATATTCCCGCGAGTTTCGCGACAGCACTTCCGCCACCGTTTTCGCCCTCCTCCTGTCCGCATTATTATAATCGCGTAAAAAAAAAAAAAAGATGCACGGCGAAACGAACAAAATAAACGAATAGATAAATCCCCCGCAGGGATTTTTACACTCAGTTATTGCTCGCGTCCTTTGCGTCGTTCCGATGAACGGCGCTGGTTGGGCGATCGCTATTGCCGCATTTACGCGCCGCGATGCGGGACACGGGCGATGAAAAGTGTGCAACCATGCAAAAAGTGCGACGATAAACGCGGAATGAAGTGTGGAGGAAACTGTTACAGATGACTGCTGTTTTGGTGATTAATTGGCGCGGATGGTTTACGGAGTTGGATTTCAATGTTTCCAGTCGAACACGTACAATCCGTTAAAGCCCAGCCCCGCCTCCTTTGTCGTCTGAGCAGACGCGTATTATAATTTAACGTACTGTTCAAAAAACCGTAAACATTTATTCACCTCTGTTTTTTTGTTTTTGTTTTTGCGCGAATGGGGAGTTATAAAACTGTCACGGCGTTCGCTCGTGCCGAAGAACGAAGTGTATAAGCGATTCGGTCTGGAAAATATTCCATGCGGGTTGTAAAACAAACGATGCAACTGCGATTTAAGTCCTTTGGAGTTATATATGGAGATAGTGCGATTAATTTCGTTGAAAATGTTTTGCTATAGTTGTTGTTGGGTGATTGAGTGTCCGTAGGGGTGCTTTTGCAGGATTAAAATAAACACTGGCGTACAGAAATAGAAAATAAAGAGATTTATAACTATGATATAGTCAGGACCTATATAGTGTACTACCAACTATAAACTACATCAGTGACTATATTTTAATATCAACCACGAGATACGTCGGAGTATCGCGAATTCCAATTCCCTAGAGTACGAAGGAACAACGCGTATTGGAAGCAGACTGATTCCTATATCTGAAAACGCCCACCAAGCTCGATACGTGTCATGGGATCATGGCGTCGCGATTTTGGAATAAATCGAAACGTTTGTATGGCTCGCAATGTACAAGCGTTACCCTACTGTTATCGCGTCACACGATAGATCCCGCTCGCTACGTGGTTTCCTTCTCGTCGACGGTGACAATGGCGACCAGTGTACGGGGTCTCTAGTCGAATGGAAATTTGCTCCGTACACAATGGGATACAGGCGAGGGAAACCATGCGCAACTGGAAAGCGGTTGAAGTGTTCGAAGCGCCCGGTCCAGGGGCTGCGTACTCGCGAAACGTACTTCGAACCGAAGCAGACGAGGCCAGGTCAAATATTTTTGCTATCGGAGGGATTCCAAAGTGGATATTAAGAAAATGCTTACGAGCATCTTACTCGTTTGCGTGTCTGCTGCGACACTTACGAAATTAGTAGGTTTTTATCTCGTTGAGGGAGAAAACTTAATTTAGAAGGATAACTGTGTTTTGGGTTTGGGTCGAAGTTCGGCTGGAAAGTAAATTCGCAATCGTTAGTCTTTTAATTCTGCTCCATTTGATAAGGTTTTTATATTTCACGTGGGTAATTTCACCAGGTGCTCCACTTTGAAGTGAAATGAAAGTCCCCGCTTAGTCACTTCAAAGCTGGGACCACTCTAATGAGAGGATCTCAATCTTAACACAGAGAATGTTTTTTACGCTTCAGCGGCAGGAGAGCGTAGGACACCTCGTGTCAGTTAATTCACGACCTGCCCCGCTTTCAAGTGAATTGATAGCCACCAGTTAGTCACCTGAAACCGGGAGACTGGCGGAGCAAGAAAATCTTAACGTTAACTATTTCCTTTTTCTATTTGGTTTCTATAAAAAGTAAGGTTTTGGATTGGATATAGAAACGAGATATATACATAAATATTTTATAGCGCGAATATAACTATATACATTTAATAAACAGAATTGATATTTTTTTAATACTTCAATATATTTTACTGGATCTCTAAACTACGAATTACTCCTTTTCTGGAACTCCACGAAGTGCTAGTCTACTTGTAATTACCACAACTATGTAATCTCGTGGCTGTAAACGCTAATTACTCTCTAATTAATGCATATTACGAGGACAAGAGAAGCTTCCGGCGATTATGTAAAGATGCCTTTCCTCAATTACGGAGGGGTGCATTCGCCCTCGACGGAACTTGCGCGTTTATCAGAATTAGGTTTAATTTCTCGGGATGGTCTCAAGTGCCAGATAGGAATAATAAACAAAGATTTAACACTCGAAATTTTTGCCGATTACGCTATCGTTTGATTGGCCTGTCGAATTCTTTCTTTTATCGCAAAGGGAATCGTTTATATTTCTGTGTTCAGTGAAAATTTGATTCCAATTTTCATACCAAGTAAAATCATACTAAAGTCATTTCCTATGTCAACGTGGAATGTTTGGTAAAGTAATCATTAAATTTTGGGTTTTAACAAACAAAATTTTATTCCGAGTTTCAGTCAAAGTATTAAAAAAAAATAAAATTATTCTAAAGTAATTGTCCCTGTCGCATTGTTTTGTACAAAACAATCTCTTAGATCTTAACAAACAGAATTTTCACGGAATTAGGCGCGTCGTTTTCAAAACGGAATCCCTTTTCAAAGTACTTCAGTCAATTGCTGGCTCGAATGGGGTGCTGGAAACAAGTTGCCACCCCTTAACAAGGATGTAAAGGGAATGGATTGACGTCGTGTCATCGCTACCCTCGGAATAATTATAAACGGGAGGGCGACGGGAAACCATTGAAATGATACTGCACGGAACAAGACATTGACGTTTGAACTTGTCGTCGACTTAATGGACATTCAGGCCGCAATTAAAAGTCGAAAGTTTCTTAATTACACGTGACATCTTTCAATCTTTTGTTGGCAATCTTTTAATAAAGTGTTTTTATTCACCCATTATCTTTTAATTATTATTACTTGGTTGAAATATGTCTAAATATTTATTAAGACTGTTCAAGTTTTATTGGTTTGAAAAGCGAACGATAGATTTTTAAACGAATTTCATAGTTGCATTTATTTGTAACATTAACAAATTGAAATACCACTTTACAGGTTTGTTCGAACTGAACGAGACACAATTAAAGTTATAAAAATAATCGTACCCACCCACGCTATAAAAATAATTTCTAAATGTCTCATAAATCCATTCTGTCAAAAATTCACCTACATCAAGTACCCTAATACTCGTCCATTCGCCCGAATTCGACCGAACCGTCCAGCTGTATCATGTGCAACGATGTATTAATTCAAGCAGTGGAAAAAAGGCTCAGGTAGAAAAAAGAATCGACAAAATTTCAACGAAACGAGCGCGATAGGCAGGTGTCACGCCATCTCGACCCCCCGACGCGACGATTACGACGATTACCGGTGGCTCCCGCGGGGTCTCAGAGGGTGGGAATCGCCTCCGTTGACATTGCATCACGAAGCACTAACCACATTATTTATGCCACCTCGTAAAACTTGTGGCGTGCCTAAACACACTACTCGTTGGCCGTCGACTATCCCCCTCTTCACGGGGAAGGTTACACAGCGGCCAGGGGGAGGAAGGGTGAGTACCACTGTTTGTGAAATCCACCGCCTCCTGATAGTGGAATTGCTTGTATCAGCGACGGCTGAAGGAAACTAAACGTTACGCGATCTTGGCGTCGCGCCAGAGTTCCGGTTAGAATCGCGAGACGCATTTCCGATGGAATGACGCATAGCTGGACGTTAGGGGATTGACAGGAGAATGCAAACTTTGACGCTATTCGCGATTGGAGGCGAATTCCACTTTTCTAGGAAAATCTCAACAGGGCAAACTGTTTAAGATAAATTTCATTGGAATTAATTTCTGTATACATTAAGATAACCGCCGGAAGGTGTAGAAGTAAAGCAACATGCGGGAATTCCAGCAAAGTATAAAATACAGAAGATGTTTGAAGATTCAGCGTAAAATATCGCATGTCTATAATCGTATTCTGCTCCTAAACGGCCAAGTATAAGTTTCCGTGTCGGTATGCCGGAGGGTTACCATTTTCAGAGTATTTTCATTGCATGTCCGTTATCAGCCCGGTCACGTGAATATCTTGCTTAATGCGAGTAAGGGAAGGAGCACATCGAAGAAACAATTTCTTTCGCGGTGGATCGACTGAAACTCGTGCAAATTCGATATTCGATGTTTCGAGCTTTGAGCTTTGAGCTTTGAGACAATGATTGTACTGCAATATTTAGAAGTATCTTTATGTATGATAAATATGTGTTGACCACGATATTTATTTTTAGGATTTAGGATTTATTTTTTCTTCTCTCATTTGTTTCCAGTTACCCTACTCGATGGAGCTGGATTACGACGTGGTGGGTGTCCCAGGCGGCGCCTCGGAGATGATGGCCCTGCTTCCTCCCAGAGTGAATGTGTCAGCCCGAGGAGAAGTGCCAGTCACGTTACAAGTCTTCAGGATCAGGCTGCCGTGCTCGGGTCTCGTGAGCGCCGAGATTCCTCTGGCATTGAGGTTGAACGTCACTGCTCCACCTGGGACCAGATACAACGACACAATTTTGGTTTTCAAGAGAAATAAAATTTGCTTCAAAGGTGAGCGAGAAGGTTTCTTCAACCCCAATTACAAAATACAATTACGGTGGAGTTTATTAATAATAATGCAAAGTGGAATATTATTATTTGATATAGCAGAGATTGAAGAATTCAATAAACAATATTCTGTATAACTGTAACAAAATCGTATAAAAAACTGTAATAATCCCCACACCTTACAATACACCCTTACCGACACGTCACTTGAAACCGGTGCAGCTGCGCGACTAAAATCGACGCGTACGCACGCGACCGTTACAACTCCAACATCCGACCCTCGATAATTACTCGGTTTATGTAATCGCGAATTTAATTAGCACGTTCGTCCACGGCCGGTGAATGCCTTCGTTACAGGCGTCGCTATTTCGACGCGTTCGCGATTAAAACACAGCCGAAGCTTGCAATTCGGCCCGCGGTCCCTTCCGAGCGCGTTTCTATACGCGATTTATGAGCCTTTATGCCGAGCCGCGATCGGCAACAACAACGGTGCATAATTTCCGAAACAAGCGTCTCGCCTATGCGTTTCGCCACCATTATGCTTCGGCCACGCTGTGAAAATCGAGTGATCGAAGTTCGGTTATAACGATCGGCCGACAAATTTCGTTCAATTACATACACGGAACGGGTGATGCGCTTTTCGACGGCAATTTCTGTCGAGCGAATTTATTAATCACCTGTGGATGGAAAATGGTGAAACGATGGGATCGATTCGATAACATACTCGCCGCGCTGTTGCATTTAATAGCGTCGATACGCTTTTCGTTTATTTCTTTGAGTCGTGGCGAGTAAATATGTCGAACGGATAAATACAGGGTGGTCCGTGAACTAAAGCTGCGTGATTTAAAGGGTGTGTGCGACGTTGAAGTTTCCAACTCAAAGTTTCGACTCGTCGTCACGTGAAAACGGACCCCTGGAGGGGAACACGGGTCTGCGAGGAGGTCTGGGGACAAGAAACAGTAAGAAGCACGAAGTTGACAGACGCTGATCCGGATCCAGTTACCGGCGCAGTCGACGTTACAACGAAAAGCAATCCGACGAATAAAATTGAATCTCGTCGGGAGTCGGTGTATTTAATGAAAGAGAAGAGGAGGAAAAGATCTCGCCGGCCGAGATCAAGAGGATCGACCGCCGTGGAAAAGTGGAGTAGAAGATGAGAGAGCTGAAAGTAGGAGGGGGGTTGAAAGGGGATGAAAATAAGTAATCGTCTCCGAGGGAAGACGAGGAGTACTTGCGCGTGTACGGAGTCCCTTTTTCGGCGGGATTTGCTTTATTCTTGACCCGCTGTAGAACCTCGTCCCCCCTGGTGGACGAATGGTACGGATTCTTCAGGGCTCGAGAGGTCCTGCAGAAATCCGAAATCCGGAGAGACCGTTCGAAAATAAACGAATCCCGCGTCGGCTCCTCGAGTGCTCGTATTTCTCCTCCTGTACGCGGTGCCGGGTTAAGAATGTTCGATGGTCCAAGGGCGGTCCAAGGGCAAATATTGGAGGAAAAGTGGCGCATGAAAGGGGATATTAGCGCCGTGAACGATTTCAATGCGGGCATTGTTCGCTCGTTTCTTTGGGAAATCGGTGGAAACGCGGGGAAGAGCGTTCTGGGTCACTGTATTGCCGAGGATGAACATCGAATTTTCACTTCTTTCTTTCTGGTATTAGACGCAATGGCAAGGAAATATTTCTAACCCTCGCAAACAGCTTGCAAGGCATTTATTTTAATATTTTAAGTTGATGGTACTGTTAACCTACGATAATATCTCTGCTTCAGATTATTCATAATTTAAATTACAGACTTCCACCGGTCACGAATTACTGCAATAAATTCACAAAATTGGAAACGCGACAATTTGTCCGTATTTCAGGATGAAATTCGTTTCGAGCGGAAAGACGCACCTTTCCTTCCGCGACCGGCATCACGCGGTTCGGGCGGAGGGTCATTCCATTAATCCCACGGGGACTTAATTCTGGACCTCCGTAAATCTCGGTTAAGGTTTGTTTGATAGCGTCGGATAGCATCGCCTGTCGGGATTTAACTGAGATACACCCCCCTCTTTGGCCTTCAACGTGGCTTCTCGGCACCGCTGGATTGTTCTTAAACTCACAAGTTCCCCGTCCCGGTGCGTCGACGAAGTTTAATCGATCCTCCGTCCGTGCTCGACTAACGCGAGCAAATTGATTCCTTTGTCCCGCCACCCGTTAACCTTCCTCCGGGCGTTTATAATTAAAAATCAAGCACCGCGGTTTCATTACAGGGCGCTCGAGCATCGGTTACCGTGATTCAGCTTTGTGTAGGGCCGATTCGTGGTTTGTTTAATGTAAAGCGCGGAGGAGGAAAACTTGATTAACGCCTTACGTATCTATTGGTAGCGACGGGACTGTGGACGTTTAGGTTCCTAGGTTAGAAATTGAAATCAATGGGTTCGATTGGTTGACCACCGAGGCATCCACATATGGGTGAGATAGATTCTCACTAGGGAATCGAGGGGTGTGCTGTAATAACGCAAGACGGAGACAGAGCAGGAAGTAAAATGAATTTTGTACTAATTTTACGATTTTTTTCTATTCTGCATTTTTTGTTTGTGTTGCCAAATGTTTTAGGAAGAAAATAAACACGTGTTTGAAAGAAAGTTTTGCTCAGTTCCAAACATCAATCCTTCCCCCATCATTCTGAAAAGGAAGGACGGAGAATCCGGAACGACGTAATTTCATAATTAGCTACCTGTGCTATGATTCGAAGGAAACTTTTACGATGCCGCGTCTTCTTAAGCGGATCGTCGACGATATTCGTTCTAGGCGTTGAATAAATAAACGAAGGATCGAAGAATAAGTGAACTCGCGAGCGATTCAATCACCTCGTCGACACTAGGAAAAAATGGAACAACAGAGCTTAACGCCATCCGTCAAAGCAGCCCCCGACGTAAAGTTGCGCGCCGGAAAGAATGAAAACCAAACTTACTTAAAAAGTTTGTCCGCCTCGTCGAGCATTGTGCACCGTGTAAGAGAGAAACATTTTAAAAAGATGTCGTCTCCCGGCGAATAAAGAAGCAAAGATTCCACTAAGAAGTTGAAAGCAGCGCCGGTGGGGCAGCCCGCACGATTTATTTAACTTTTTCTCTACCACGGTGTTCCCGGTGCGCATCTCATCGCGCTCCAGCGAATGCTTCCTGGTCCGAGTGTTTCGCGAACGTTCTCGTCGGTTCCAAACCTCATCCGTCTGGTTCGCGTTATTTATTCTGGCAACAAGCGGAGTCCTGCCGGTCCTGCTCCTTCGTCTGGAAATCGGGGGAGGGGAGGGGAGGGGGGGGGGCCGGAAACAACGCGAGAAAAAATTCGTTACAGCAGAGGGTCTTTCTTGAGAGAGCCACACGCAGTTGTCTGATTTTCTTCAGAAAGATTTAAATACACATTTTAATTCAAAACGAAGCTTAATTTCACAGTAAAAGCATCGACCTTAATATATAAATTTCCTTCGTTGAGATACAATATCAAAAATTGGCGAAATGGGTATAGCAAATCTCCAGGAATTATAAAATAAACATTATTATTAGGCGTATGTATAACAGGGTAGTATCTCTATCGCGGGGTGGATATCTAAAAGCAAGTGTTAATCAGAAGATGCATCTTCCTCTGGAAATAGTTCTGGTACGTCTAGAGATGCATTTTTTCCTTTTGCATTATTTAGCTCTCCCAAGGAGGAAGTATTTGTATCGTCTCCCGAAGAACAGTTTTGTTATTTTCCTTGGAAAGGGGAAGAAATTTTATGGTATGCCTCGTGCTTGACAAACACGTTCGCAACTTCGCGAATCTCTAATATCTCATTTCGCCACCTACAAACTCGAGCTGCGCTTAATTCGACGAAATAAGAAGTTCGCAGCTTGGAAGCAATCGAACTGCAGCCCGTATCTGCCAGCAACACTGGTCCTTTACCGATATCCAACGGTTGCAAACTTCAACCTCGTCAAACCAAAATGTCTCAAAAGATTCGAGCTGCAATTCCAAAGGCGGGAGTTCCCCACCCCCGAAGTTAGACTCGCAAGAGAATGGCCAGCGAAATGGAGGGCACCGGTTCAAAGGAAGAAGAGAACGAGTCGACGGACCGCGAAGGGATTTCGATTTCCAATACAATCCTCTGGGGAAAAAAAAACCGAGAATAACGCGTTTCGAAGAAGACGAGGCGGGAATGCGATTTCGACTCGCGGTTCGTGAGAAAATTTGCATGACGTCGTCGGGGACGGGCTGCAAGGGAGGTGCAAAAATTCCACTTTTGTTTAGCACGCGGGATTCCGGCGGGGCATAAAGGTGGAATGCGGCAAAGAGTTATCTACGGCGGAAAGCGCAAACGAACGTGAAAAGAAATGCGACTATATAGCTTGCACCGGTGGCTGCGCATTGTAGAAGATTCGTCGTTCGCGGTGGACCGAGCAGGCCAGGAGGTCTGATTCAAAGGAATTTCCTTCCTTTGGTTCTCCCGTCCCTTACTTTTCATCTCTCTGCGCCCTCGGAAGGTTCGTCGATGTCGCTGACTCGATAGCGTCGCGACACATGCGATCACCATTTATTCTGCTGTTTATGATGACACGATAGGTCGTCAAAGGATGACTGCAACGGTGATCGCTCGGAATGACCGTGATGGGGAGAAGAAAACGACGATAGCACTCCGTTTGATATACAATGCGACTGTACTTAGGTACTGACTGTATTTAGGTACTCACGCAATTTTCATTCGACACTAAGAATAATTAATTCTACCACATACTCAATTTTGAATAATACTTAACAGACACACATGCCATTATTCAAAGAATTATTACGTCCCCACAGTCTGTCTAGAAATAAAAATTCATGAAAACAGACCACGAGTATCGAAATTTCACCACGGAAGAAATTGATGAAATTGACGATCGTGGCAAAAAGCATCGACGCAACTCGACGTATCGACTCGTACGATTGTCGCGTCTGTGGTTCCCATAAACGACCGACCCATCAACGTGTCGACGGTTCACGGATGAAAATGGGCTCTCATGCGCGCACCGGGCGGGAAACGATTCAATCGACAAAATGGATTGTCGATCGCGTAATGCGGCTGAAACACGCTTTGTGGATGTAATGCAATTATTTCACGGCGGCGCAGAAGTCCGCTCATTAAATCGCGCACGAATCTATGTTAATCGCCGCATTTCTCTGTTATCACGCTGTCAGAGTCACGCTCCAGTACCAGAATTTTAACGAAACACCTGCGAACGGCGCATTACCTTTGTCCGTGCCGTGGAACTTTGGCGGGCATATTCGCAGCCGGCGATACTGTAAATATCGCGGGAATACATTTTTGATGATACGCGAAGAGTATTGAAATTTCATCGAGCGGTTCCCGCCGATGGAAGCGTTCGTGGTCAATTAACAAATTACGGTCATTGCGTGCCTGATTTTCGCCGGCGATCATTTCCGATAGATTCTAAATTGCGATTTAGGGTACTAGCGATGGAAAGTTCGAGGTTTGTAATAGAAATTGCTGGGAAACCGTGGGAAAATTGTTTTATTATTACGAGTATTTCATTCTCTAGCAATGCTGTTTGATTTTCCTTTATTTTCATTCCGGAAGCAAATTCGATTTAATTGAAGAGGAGACTCTTTCTGAATTAATGTTTGTGCATGTGTTTAATGTCTTTCTTAGAAGTACAATCCACAAATGAAAGCTACAACCATCGCTTTATAGATTGAGATGAATTTCAATGCAACAAAAATCGTTGAAATTGTTGTGTTCTAGGAGTGGAAGCGCCTCCAAGAAATGATTCTGTTCGTTTGGAGCCAGGACCTCTAGTAAACGGTGCGGGGGCTCTTTATGTCGCCGCGACGTGTGCATGCGCCTTAATATTGGTCGTCGGTAGCGTGGCGAGCGCTCTGTACATTCGCAACAGCAAGGCACGCATTCAAGAATCGCAGTAAGTATAATTACGCAATTAATTAATTTCCAGAATGACTCTGAACGAAATAATTCCCTTCCTATAAAATGAAATAAAGATCACGCGACGGCGAGGTAAGAATCGATCAACGGGCTGGCAATCATTGTGCTTTATCGGTACAAATAGAGGAAGCGTTCCTCGAGTTATACTTAGCCTGCCTCGGAAGAAGACAAGTGTTCTCTGCTCCCATCGAGGGAAGAGCCAGGTCGTGAAGGGGTGGAACAGGGGCTGAGGATAGCGGTTTCCCTTCCTCCGGATCTCCTTCTTACGTCCTCTCCCGGAGGAGTCCTCTTCAACGGGGGCGCGTAGCCCTGCAATAAAATGTCGGCTGCCGTGCCAAGCGACCGACGGATCACCAGGGCTTATTGAAAGGATATTTCATGCGGACGAGTTCCTATCCAGCTTATCCACCCCCCAACGAATACCCCGCGGGGGTGGCAGAGATCTTCCCGCCGACCTTTTTGTCTCTTCCCTTCGGTGAACCGGGGTCCGGCGAGCCTCCGAGTTTACGAATCCACCCGGGGAATTCGCGACTGCTTTTCGCTCCGACTGGCTCGCGGGAAATGAGAACGCGCCTGACGACACGTGAAAACCCGTCAGCTGTGCGACTTTTACGAGTGACCGTCCAGACGGGTTACTCTGCCTAAAAACAAATCTTTTTGGGTCTGTTGCATGTTTACGACAAGCTTGATAATTTTAGTAAGATTTATAAGACTTTTCTTGGTTGAATTGTATATTCAAAGATAGAGCAGATCACAATTTTCTGTGTCGCCCTCTTACCACCCATAAAGTACAAAGCTCGCTCCGGCTTGGCAAACTAGCTTCCTGCGGTTCCAAAAAGTGGCAAGGAGGTCGGACATATACTCGTGCCGAGAAATATAGCGGAGATTATGTTTTAATATTTCCTTAACGTAGGCAGGACACCGAGGGACACCATTCGCGCGTTAGGGGAGAATAGTTTCTTCATCGAGCTTTTATAATCCATTTTATGGTGCATACATTATGAAGTATGTCTGCTCAAGGATACCTTGCCCGAAGAAATTCTGGTAAAAGAAGATCCCAAGACAAAGTTTCGAGGAGGAGGAAACTTTTACTCTCTCCAGCCCTTCCTCGTCTTTCCTTTGGTCTAGCTTTCCTCCACTTTATGCAGACTTGTCATACTTCCTTTGAATATATTAATTCTTCCGAGACTTCCTCTACTCGCGATTTTATGCGCGATTTGCGCGGAAAGGATGTAATTCAAATCCTCGGAGATCCGTATCATCCAGTTTATATTCTCAATTTTTATTCCTCGTCCCTCACCGCCGCTATAATTACGAGCTTAGTGATTAAGCGCTGCTCTCTGGCGACGAACAATTAAATACAGTCGAATTTCGGCAAATTAATTTTGTTTACATTGTAAGTTCATTGTTTACAATTTATTAACGAATCTTGTTGAATAAATTGGCTCGAAAAAGTAGCAATTTTTCTGGTATTTTTAAATTTAATTGTAAACTATCTTTTTTGTGAACAAAATATAAAATAAAATTAATCTTTTTACATACGAAGAGAAACAATTAACATAGATAGAAGTAAAAATTCGCAATATTTTAATGATTTTCAGCAATTCTGTTTCTGAAGTAAAGCTTTCTAACCCGAGAAGTTTACAATTAGTATAAAAACATAGAATACATTTAACCAACAGTGTACGGCTATAAATCTGACAAGAAACAAGTGCTATTAACGGAAGCATCCCGCGAGATATTATACCAGGAGCAAGGTATTCGATTAAAACCCTTATTAAGTCTAACTCTAATTAAGAGACGCTCGTCGCAATGCTCGTATTAAAGCTCGAGTGTACGACGAATCTACTTAACGACAAGTACAGTGGAGAATCTCTCGGTTCTGTGTGTACATTAATTACGCATTCGGCGAAACGCTAGTTATTTCTGGTAATGACGAGCCGAATGCGTTCTTGCGCGATTACACGATATCAATGGGATTAATTTCAGCTCGATGGAATTATAAAAATTAGATCTCCAGACCTACGACCCGCAAAGCTTCAAATTACACTTTAATTACCCCACGACGGGCGAAATTAAACCACTTGAAGCAGAAAATTATCGCTGGTATCAATTTCCATCTTTTTCATTTCTGGCTGTTGCGCCTTTATAATTGTGCATTCGTATCGGGATGTGTAATTACTCAGGACCTTGATACTAAAAGAAGTAAACAATATCCTTGAAAATAGAATTATAAAAATGAAAACGATATTTAATTATTCATGAACAATAAATTAGACATTCAGTAATCATTAACACAGAATAATTTGCGTACTCATTTACCACACCGTCAATAAAACCAGAATAAAAAAAATAATTTACAAGAGCAACATACCTGACTCAACCCTCTATCGTTTCATACCAACACAAAACCAAAAAGGGTTTCATTTACCCTCTCGTTACCACAATCAGATCTGCACCATCGCCTTTCGTAATTGAACTTTCATTATTTCTTAAAACCACTGGTCACATTGCAGGAATAGCTGGTACCCCAATAATCTCGCGTTTTAATACGCTCGCCGCCTCCATGGTAAGGAATCTTTATGGCATGGACATGGCTTGGGTACAAGTAGCTTCCCTTCCTTCCCAGTCTCACTCTCGCGTCCTCTCTATCTCTCCCTCTCTGTCTCTTTTACATCGGCGAAGTCTCGGCACGGGCCAATTGTCTCTCGAGGGATATATTAGCTCTTTTGAGACTCTCCAGGCTGATAACGCGCGGGAAAACGAGGCTCCTGGATCCTTCTCTGCCCCTTGTTCGTTTCCCCCGGGGGCGAGACTGCAGATTTTACATCCGCTCGCTCGAGTAAACACAGCGCACATCCTTGCACCCTCCGTACCCATCGCCGCGTCGATCTCGACGCACAAAGGACGATTTTGGGGGTTCGACGGGAACACGATGCTCTCTGCGGCCGAATGCTCCGTTCGCGAACAGCGATAAGGATGTTTCTCTGACTTGCATTCTCTGCGTGGCTTGAACGGAACATACTGTGGCTAGCGTCCACTATTATTGATAATTTGTTGCTTGGATTTCACCTTTCTGTTTCGAAGTGAATATTTGTGGAAATTTGTGTTTATTTCACGACGTCTTAATGAAAATGTTACGAATAGATTCGTAGGGTTCTTGCGATTAAAACGAATAGAAACACGACCACCATCGGACCATTTGGATTGTCACGCGACTGACTTATTTATTTTAACCCAAAATTAAAAATCGTTCGAATAGGGTCGTGTCGGTACTCGTTCTTATCGAAAGCATCTCATCAATCAATTAACGTCATTCACGCGCAGATATATTCAATAAATCGTACCTTCGATATAAGACCGAGATGTAAGAGAATTCCCGTCGCTATATCGAGTAGGCGTGGCTCTCCCAAAGATTCCCCTCCACGAACGTGCGAATATGTTCGAAATAAACCGAACGAAACCAAATAAACACAATCTTCCAGTGCATACTGTGAAATACAGTCGCGAACCCGGTGATGCAAAAATCCACGTAACACCCCCAGGAACGTTTGAAATCGCCGACGCGACGCATTCCGCTATTCGTTCAGACTTTCCGCCGAATCGCGCCGGGGCGGATTTACATGTAATGCGCGAAACGGCCAATAAACTCAGGGAAATATCGGTACCGCCATTTCTCGGCGGATTCTCGCGCAGTATTTCAGTTTTCCCGCTATCTACGACGCCGTTTCTCGGCTTTCTCGGCTCCTATCTAGCCGCCTTTCAGGCCCTCCTCTCTAATATCGCGCTGCAAAGGGAGCGGAACCCTCTTTGAAAATTTTTCCCCGCGGGCTAAACGGTAATTTCACGCGCTGCGAAGACCTTCGACGGAATCGATCAAACGGGATACCGTATTCGGTAACTTTCCGGTATGCCAGTCCGAGAAAGAAAAGGGAGAATTTTCGGATCTATGGGCGCTTCGGGTCGTCTGCCACGGAAATTGATAAGCATGATCACAGGTGGAGCACAGGGGCTGAAGACTCGTATTTCAGACCTTCAATTCGATAGTTTCGAAATATGTTTTTAACGTCTTATTAAATGCATTTTTATTTCTTTTTATCGTAGAAATTTGTCGTTAGAATTTTTATGGAGGGTTGAGGGTTTTAGATTATTCTGCCGCCGAGAATGACACTTTCTTAATAGTTACTCACTGAGATCAAATTCAACGACCGTTAAAATTGTTAAATAAATTTGTCTAGGTCCGATCAATAACAAAAGAGTTATGCTTGAAGTCTAGCGAAGCTTCGACTATCTACTCACGGGGCGTACTTGATTTTCGGCGGAGCAAGTTTAAACCCGCTCGCGAGATACTTTCAAAGGGTCCCGTCAGACTTTCACCGTCGTCGCTGGTAAGAACGGGAAGGGTTGGGTAATCCTGGACGCATTACCAACTGTCTCCAAAGGAAATGTAAATTTCGTTGGGATACGAAAAAGTCGAGGACTACCTTATAGAAGATAATTTCTCATTGAGAATTATACGGCCGAGGACCGCAGTTTGGAGTAGTTACTGAAATATGATCACGGCCAGTCCCTCCCTCCCCGCCACCCTACCCGTACGTTTTTATTACACGGGAGAGTGCATTCGCCAGTTTTTATTAAGGGCGCATAATGCCGCGACCCGGTAGAATCATTACTCGCGACGTCGCGGATAAATGTAATTCTTGTGCGAAATACGGAGAATTCTCGCGTAGACCTCCACGTGTTACGCTCGCGAATGACGTATGTATAATATATACATTTCAATGTAACCATTAGGACCCGCCATTTATCCGTCCCGAGGGGTTGAAACGATCGATGGAATTATTTGTAAAAACAAAAAAATACAAACATAAATGGAGATTCTCGATAATAGATGATTTCGTTCTAAGGGAAAAAGTACAATATTAGAAATAAACGAGTTTCTGAAATAAAAAGGCAAACCTTAAATCAAGTGTTATGTCAGCAACATCATTTATACATTTATACGTCGTGCACATGAGAACCAGCACATTGAATGAAACTATTTGAAAGTAAGTGCAACAAATAGGTATTTATCGAGCAACCATCTTTATACGTGTCAACTGAATCATTAAATGAAAAAATATAAATAAAATTCGACATATAACCAACGACTCTCTCCGATACAAAATTTCTTTTCACCAAGATCGACCCCTAAAGTAACGATAAAAATAAAATCCCAGTTCTGAAATCGAGTTACCCTCCCTGCAGCGTGGATACAGGAAGGTCAAGCCTGTCCCATTGTCCTCGAAATGTAATCACCTCGAAGTCCACTGTCTCCTCGGTAAATTCTCCGCCGTGTCCTACGAGCTGCTAAGAAAACACGCCCTGGGAACGGATGAGACAGACGAACCGCCCGTGGCATCGCGCAGCTACGTGCCACGGTTATTACTCGTGCTTTAGGACGATGCTGGCTGCGTGTCGTCCATTACCGAAATAATTAACCCCCGTGCATAATCATTAGATGGCTACAGAGACGTCTGTCCTTTCAGGAAAACGCTGCCCTGCTGCAGCTATTCAGCGGCAGACACCGGCGGCCTGGCCAGAAGTTCTGTTCTGGTTAGGGTCGACCCACGACCCGGAAGCGCGAATTCCGGAAGTTACGCGACCATTGCGGACCTGGAGCCACTCTATGCGAGGCCGTGCGGTTCCAGGGCGAGTTACTACGCTTCCAGCCATGTGACGCATCTCAGCCAGGTACGGTGCAGAATCATTTTCGCTGAAAACTTCGCGGAAGATGTTGCATTAAGTACCCGTACGCCGGAAACGCTGGAAGTCCGAAGTAAATGTTTAACCGGTTCTAGCCTGGGGGTTATAAGCTATCTAGGATTCCGAGACGGTTAGCAGGCGGAGCTGGAGAATTTTTGTTTAAAGAAAACTCGACGAGACTACGGAGAAATTCAGTACATACATAGAAATATTATATTAAAAAATAACGCTACTTCTCCATTGCAAGGTTAGCTTGAACCTGCAACGTTCCTCTTACCAACGCGATCTTTCTTTTGATGACGGAAGTGGAGGAACCGCGATTCGACTCCTTGTCGTGCGTCACGCCTCGCCTTTCGTCTGGTGTTTCGTGCAAGACGAGAGGCAAGCTCAAAACTTTATCGAATTTGTGGCCGTGAGAGGGATGGGAGGCTGCCTTGTACCAACAACTTTCTCTTTCGCTCTCCAGGCGACCCTCGCCAGCCCTTCGGCTCTTTATTCAGCTATCCCGAGCCCGCCGACCTACAACCTTCGTGCAACCAAGCGAACGTACCTTGTCCACGAGAAACCGATACACGTGTAAAACCCTCCCTCTTCGTTATTTTCCCTCCTGATTCCCGTTGCTCTCGTCGAGCTTCTCCTTTCTACGCTGGGAGCGGTCTTTCTTTCGAGGAAGTTGGGATCTCTGGACTTTTGTCGTTAGGGAAACATATTGGTTCTTGGTTCCTCGCAGGGAGAGTTAGGTTTTCTGTAGAGCGTGTCGATCAGAGGGTGAGAATCGAGTAGGGTACCTGAGGTGTATGTAATTTAAGTAATGATAATTTAGATGTTTATTTTTGGTACATGTACAACTTAGGTGGTGTTAGATTGATTTGTAAAATGATCGTTGAAAAAGTTTCGCGTGAACAATTCGTAAAATTTCAGAAAGAATTTATATATCCGATATTAAATACTAGTGTCAAGACTCGATAACCTTTTCGTCTCACGCTTCGATTCATCAGGTCCTCTTGTCACGAGGCTTTTAAGCAGGAGCATATGTACACAAAGAGCTCATCCTGACCGGTGTGATCGATCATGAGTGCTCGAGGTTATCGAGCGAATGAAACGGCAATTTACAATTTTCATCCAGCTTCGACGTAAAGCAAACTGACGCAGGGAAATGAATACGAGGGTCATGGTTGCCTTTTTCGGCCTTTTACATCGTCGTGTTCTCCATTGAAGAATACGATCCCTCTATTCACTTCTGTCGCTGCCTTCCATCGGGGCACGCCCGCTTGGCTGATCATTTCGCTCCTTCGGTATTCAAATTTCAATTGATCGTACGAAATCGAACGATATATGGACGGAGGCTAGACGTGTCTCGATAAGAACTTTATCTTCGGCGTACTTTAAATTTGGTATTATTTGCAACAATTTTTTTCAGTGCAACTTTCAGGAATTGTTGTTAAAGATATTTTTTTAAATGTTGGATTAGGGGCATGAAATGATTGTCACAGGGATGACTATACGGTAGGAGTTATATTTCTCACTAATCGTGGAACGATTTCAATTGGGGGTTATATTAGAAATTATACATAAAATATGTCCTTAGTAATCCTTTTTACATTTTTATTACACTTCGCTGTCGCAAGATGTATTCGATGCTTAAAGTAGGATGATTATACACACTCCTCGATAAATCGAAGAAAAAACGCTATTTGAGAAACTGCACACAAACGCGTCCTCGAAATCAATACACGAGAACGCAATACCCGGCATCGTTTGAAAATCCCGAGGACCCAAAGCGGGGAATTCCCCGAGAACATGAAACGACCAGGATAATAACCCCTCGTGCTCCACGGAGCTCGTTTTCCCGGTTCTCTGCGCGTTTCTCTGCCTTTTCGCGCCGTAGAGACGAGGAACGAAAAAAGAAAATGGGGAAACAAAGATCGCGGAAATGTCGAATAAATATGCAATCGAGTTTGGAAAGAGCAGCTGACCGTGGCTCCGCTCTCGCGGCGCATTCTAACCGTCATTTTCCCTTCGTGGAACGAGCGTTTTACGTTAATTCCCCCAGGAAAAAAGAAATGGCGCGCGGTATCACCTGAGTCGAGGGGATTCAAAGACGAAGTCGAGAGGGTTTGAGGCGGGAGGAAGGTTACACACGCGGTTACCTTCCTCCTACGACGGAACCCTACGCAACCAGAAACAGGATGAGGGGATGGGCGAGAGGGAGAGGGAGGGACGAGAGGGAAACTGGAAGTGAGTCCTGTGATTGTTTCGGCTTTGATCTTGGATCAATTTACCGGGTATACGCGTATGCCTGAACCCTTCGTCGTCTGAAGCGCCACCCTTCAGTCGGCGGACTCGTGCACCGACACGAAGAAACACGAAGAGCCAAGTGTGTTTGTGCAAACGCATACAAACGTTGGACGCGTCGGATATCAGCGAGCGGGCAGAGTAATCGTTAAATGTTTGTGCAACCTTACGAGCAGGAGGATTTTATTCTCGTGGCTAGTTTGTGTTTATGCTGATATCGTGAATCGGTGAGGATTGAAAGGGTTTGACCTAGTTGATGTCAGAAATCATTGAAACGATTTTCATGGAAGATTCAGTATTGATATCTTTTTAATTTCGAATGTGAAACAAGATGCAGGTTCAACAGTGTACTACAAAGTTTGTACAGATATTATGGAGTAATAAATTGTAATCGCGTTAAAATGTTTCAAGTGGTTTGAACGCGTGTCAAGCATCGGAGCTGAAACACTTATGGCGCAAACATGTCACATGCGCGTGATAGGTTCACAACATCGTCGCGCTTCAGGTTTAATCATCTTCGGTCGTCGGCGGTGTCGAGTCGTTACCGCCGTCGCATTCTCGAGTATAGTCTTACACATGTTTCATAGAATAAGCGAAGCGTCTTCATAATAATTTCGTCCGCTCTCCCGCACTGTCACGCAACGCCTGTCTGGAACTTCTACGAACAGAAGCAAGAGTTGTGTAAATAATTGAAGAGCTCAATTTCCGGACACCATCGTGGATTAATCGTTTGTCCAAGAACGTATCAGGAAGAAGAAAGACGTCGAAAGCGATTCCTGTGGGATTTTCGTAGAAGTTAGCCGTTAGACGATAGAAATTTCCAACTAAAATGCATGCAGCTGCAAAGCTATGCATATTAAGGGGAAAACCGTCGCTTTAACCGTCCGAACGCGGCGACCGTTTCCTTAAACAAGAAGATACCTTGTTTTGGTAGCGGAATGGGCAACGTCGTTGTACGTTTATCCAGAGAATCGGGCGGAAAACGGGCGTCTGTTCTTGTACCGAAGATCTCCGGTAGACAGGAGCAGTAATAACTTCTTCAGCAATGGGATCTCAGGCGTATCGTTTTACAGGAGGGATAAGACGTTCCCAGATTACATGATTGGGTGAACTCGATAGCGGTGCGAAAACGGGTATGAGGAACCGGCGTATTAGCGATAGGTAAGTTTGTCAAAAATTTTCAGCGTACACAGGGTATCTCTGAATGTTTGGCCAAGTTGGAGTGATAAACATTAAGGGTGTTCGTTCTGGTTAATCTAAACAACAAATGGAACGATTTTAATGGGATTTGAAATTGTTCCTAGCTTCTTTATCAAATTTTGTATAGCATGGTGTATGTTTGATTACCTTATTTCATTAGGATGTTCGTCACTGTACATGTTTACATCGACACATTCCCGATCAGCAGATATTTTACGTTTCTAATACCGAGTAGCGGTCGACGCTTTATCTAAAAATATTCGAAATCATTACTAATCAATAAGTAACTAGTTCGTGATTTCAATCACCAACCATTTACGTTTCTTTTGAGCAGCTTCGTGTGCAAACGGCCTAATTAGACAACATAAGTTTTGTCCCGGCAGATCGCTGAAATTTCACACTGTGCGTCGAATGGAAAGTTGGCCGGGGTAGCTCTTGGCTTGGGTGTCCCGAAAATGAAGCTTTTAGAGTGGCCGACCGGCAAAACAAACGGCGATGTTTGACGAGACCCTCTCGCTAAATAAATCCAATTGCTGAACCGTGCCCATCCAGCAAAAAGTTGGTTGCTGGCGCCGTTAAATCAATAGCGCGATTGTGATTGTATAAAAGCGACTCGTCAGTCTACATTCATTACAACAGAAACATTCGCCGCCGGTTCGATTTCGCTACCTACCATTCGTTTGCCGCGGCAATTACGAATCTCTTTTTCCCTCCTTTTTGCTTTTTAACTAATGGCAGCGCGCGGCGTTAATTATGCACCATGCGTTGCTGCGAGCGATTCGTCAGTTTTTTTTTCATTTCCCCCCGTTTATCGACGAACGATTCCGCGCACAGTAATCAATCGCGGCGAACAAACACTCGACGAACGATAGCAATCAACACCGAATGCCATTTATTCTTCATTTTCTGTCATAATATTTGATGGCAGCTTGATAGCTCTACGGGGCATCTTTGCGTTTCTGGGATTGATCACATGGTGCTTGGTCCGTGTTTTTCTTTGTACCGTAGACTTTGATATCGATGCAGTAATTGTCTCTATGGGAGTTTAAACGCAAAGTCGATTGGCCCATTGTCGACAGAAATAACAGTAGTGGACAAGTGACGCTATTCAAGCTGTGCGTAATGTTTTGAAGCAAGTTTAATGAGATACCTATTCCTACACGGTTTAGCGTATGTGTTATGTTTTCTTGTGTAGCTCAACAAGTTTAATGAGATCGCTATTGTTACGTGGTCCACGCTGTACGACATGTTTTCACCTATAGCTCAACAAGTTTAATGAGATCCCCATTATTACGTGGTTCACCCTGTACGCGCGTCGTATAGTTTCACGTATAGTTCGACGAGTATAATAAGATCCCCGAGGAAGTGGTCTGAACGTGGACGAGTGGCAGGAGATGAGGGCGATTAGACTATCGTTTAGATCTACCGTTCGTTCCAGTAGGTGTCATCTGATATTGTCCAGAGCAAGCAAGGCAATCAGCAGATGGAATGGAAAAATAAAAATAAAATAAAGAAAGCAAATAAAGGTAAAGGAATGATAAAGCAACCGAAATTTACAGACCAATGTACCAGTGTACCTTCGAGCAGGTCGCCATGTTTGTTTCACAAACTATATCAGCAACGTGAATAAACTGCTGCCTCTCGATTTTGTTGTAATTAAGAAAATAATACATTTTCTCCGTTGCAACAGTTAATTCGTTTCTCTAGTCTATTTACACGTTCAAGCTTTTATTCGTGAAACGAAAATTGCCTCGTGACACTTTTACGAACAAACGTGGGGACGGATATCCAGGGGAAAAGAACAAGATGGACTCTCACGCGGTAAAACGAAGGGAGAAACGAGAAACACGGAACGGAGAAACACTCGAGACGACGAAAGCTGGGAAACAGCAATGCGAAGGGGAGAATCGCTTGAGAACATAGTTGTTTTTTTATTTTTTTATTGCGACTGCGTATAAAACTACCTCGTTGAAAATTGCCTACGTAATAATCACAGTGTCCGATAAGCCTTGGTATTAGCATTCGCGTTCCCACCGAATGGTACTGCAATCCCTGTTTGCATGTTCTCGAATCGGTTCCACTCGCTTCCATTCATTCGGGGAAGGTACGCGTTTTTTACTATGCTTCGAGCTGTTTTATCATTGATTAAAACTAAACCTAGCGTCTATAGAGGCTTCAAAGTCATCTGTACGTTTCAATATGAATATAAGTTGTCGATTTTATTTGTAATTAAATGAATACTTGATGATTATTTAAATTGGGTATCTAGAACAGGCCTGACCACTCTTGTCATTGTGATGGGGAATACCCCAACTGGTGGTGCCACTGTAACATCATCGCACTAGTTCTCGTACTCGTCGTCCCCTGAAATAATTACAGTCAACCTCAATTTTAGAATTGTAATCGTCGAGTTGCTTTTCGGCTTAATTTTCCTTGCCATTATCGGGCGCATGCGTTCACGCAAGCATGTACACGTGGGCGTGTGCAAATGGAACGGAGGAGGGGTTGGAGGCAAAACTCTGGAAAATTGAAATTAATGAATAACCGGGCTACTGGCTCCCGCCTGGAAGCTTTCCCCAGCTCCAGTGGCGCGGGAACCGACGGAAAAGCCATGTTGAACAAAGAAGAACCCCGCCACGACGGGAACGACGATATAACGACGACGCTTTTTGCCAAGGGTTCGTTCTTTTCTCTTCTTGGCGCTTTTCGTCCTTCGGGGACCTCGCGAACTCCTTCGTATCCTGTTACGGGCGACAAATGCTTTTTTAATGAGTTCCTAGGCGAAGGGATTCCGTGCTCCGCGATGAATTATGCGCGCCACGTGTGTTGATTCAGGTCTGGTAACTGTTGGAAAATTGTTGGAGAAATTCTTGGGAGTTTGGGCGCGAGCAGATTCGAATCCTCTGATACGGTGTCTTTCGAACTTCAATTTCTCAGTTTCTTTGTCGATAGGTAACCGATTTGTCGGGCCCTGAAATATAATTAAGTAGTCATTTCTGTTTAGTGTAAATAGACACTTGAAAAATTGATTAATTTCATTTATTAATTTGCAGTCGACCGATCCTTGCGACAAGGCCAGGGCACTGGCTGTGTCGAGGTCCTCGTTATACTGCCGCAATCTCGTTCAGGAGGGCACATTTGGACGCGTTTATAAGGGCACCCTGGATCTGGCTGGTCGGGACCAGGAAGTCATCATAAAAACAGTGACAGGTACAATATTGTCATTTTATGCAATATCAAAGTATAATTCCATTTTAGATTAATTAATAATACCATTCAAACACGCGTTTCCTTAGCGCCCATACATGGCAGCTCGAAATCCACACACTCTAGATTATCGACGCACAGTAAAATAGAGAATCCACATCACGACAGTCGATTACAAACTCGAATCAAATTCTAAAACAGTATTTTAACCACAAATGGATGTAAAATGCGTGATATATTTTCTCGCCTATCGGAAAACAGCGAAATTAGTTTTAAAAACACCCTTCGAGATTTTTAAACCCTGCGAATTTTAAACATTTTCGATTCAAATTGAAAAGTTCGTAAGTTCACCGCGTTGGCATAGCGGTAATTCGAATTGACGCGGTAAATTTGAAATTTTAGAAGTGGCGTCGAGTTATCAGGCGTCTCTGCTGGTGGTGGAGGGCTCGCAACTTGCGGGATTAGTGCATGCAAACATAGCCTCGCTCGCGGCGGCCTGCCTGGACAGCTCTTGTCCATTGTTGGCGTACACGAGCACGTCCGGCGAGGTGAACCTGAAGCTGTACCTTACCGACGGGAACCACCATCCTGTGACCAGGGATCTCGTGCACGTTGGCGCGCAGGTTGCCAGGGCAGGGGCATTCATGCACGGTCGTGGGCTTCTACACAGGTGATTACTTTCGCTTCTCTGTACGATGCGCTTGACTGAACCGTTAATTGAACTGCTTCCTGTAGGAAAGAATTCAGTTGCGCGAAAAACTATGCCTAGGCATCCAATGTACAACTGGTTTTCTAATAGTTACGAATTGCTAGACGAGATTATGGAACCGAGATTATGTTTCCAGGGACATCGCAGCCCGAAATTGCCTGATCGAGCCAAGCAGTCTTCGCGTGCGATTAGCCGACACTGCTCTGGCGCGAGATCTCTTCCCTCAGGATTACCATTGTCTAGGCGATAACGAGAACAGACCCATTCGTTGGATGGCCTTGGAGACCCTCCAGCACAGTCAGTACAGCACGGCAACGGACGTGGTACGGTCATAATTTCTATCGCATCCCAATAAAGTGTCGACACTTCGCTATCTGCTGCTGCAGAAAACGAGCGATCGGATTACGGACCTAATGAACTACTTCTTATTTCCTTTTTTAGTGGTCATTCGGAGTGTTTCTCTGGGAACTGGCGACGCTGGGCCAGCAACCGTACGTCGAAGTGGACCCATTCGAGATGATGGCGTGTCTTCGCGATGGCTACCGACTGGCTCAACCTAGACCGTGCCCCGACGAACTCTTCGCCGTGATGGCCGTTTGTTGGCTAGGCCTCTCCAGGGATCGACCGACCATGCCCCAGCTCCTAGCCTATCTGCAAGACTTCCACGACGCTCTCGGCGGGTTCATATAAAACATTCGCACCTGAATGCGTGGTTCCTTGAGAATAATTAATGTATCGGACAAAAATCGTTTCGTACTCAGATAGAATTAAAACGAGGATCTCGTCCAGAGAGAGGGAGGATGAGATACGTAGATCAGGCTTGTTCAACTGGACGTGCGATGAACAAAAGCACCCTCTGTCAAAGGGAAAACTGAGAGCAATTCTTCATGTGGTCAATAAGTAACCCAATGCAAGGCAGTCTATGGGTTAGGCTTCTTCCTCTTTCACACGTCACATCCTACATAGGGCCCAGTGGTAGGTGCCTGATGTCTAATTCAGAACCCAGACTCTAGTCCTGTCCACCATCTTTTGCGTATTTTGACTTAAGCGCCGCGGTATGCTAGAAGTATAAAAGGAAAATATTGTACAGTTACAATTATGGAAACCATGCATGAGAGTACGCATGGCCTAGTCACTTGTGAGGAAACACGCAAGATCACAAACTCTGTCTACTTTTGACCCGAGGTGTAACTTGTACAATGACGTTCGGGATGTAAAACGAACATCGTCAAGGACGATGTACGTCATAAATAAGGACGAAACCCTCCGAGAGCGCGAGCACGTACCAGTGCTCGTAAATCTCGATCAAGAACGAACGTGGACATGAAATCGTACGAGAGAAGAGCGAAAAATCACTGCCCATTTGCGATTATTGATTGCCAACGACAATACGCGTCCTCATTCGTGGGATGGGCGTAATCGTTTTCGAAATTCCGTTTCGAGGACACCGGAGAATCAAAACAGGAGATCGTCGACCGAGCGGCGCCGCAATTTCGTGGATTGGAACGACTCGATTAGGGTGACGAACGGCTCGGCGATAGGAAGATCGACGCGAATACATCCGTCCATAGCAGTTAAACAAAGAAAAAAAAAAAAAAAGAATCCACTCGAAGCGCACAACATTTTTTATAGCTTGACAGGTGAACGCGACGCAGCAGCAGAAACCGCGACGACGCCTGCGTCCCGGCAACCGACGCCGCTCGTCGCAAGAGCCGCGACGTCATTGCTCAGGCGCATCATGGGAATTCTTCGTTTGGAATAGGGCCGGGGCTAGTTTACCAATTTTTTTTTTTTTTTTTTTTTTTTTTCGTTGATTATGACAATATTCCAAGATTCGTGTGATTCGGTGAATGTAACTCGAATACTTGAGTATTGGATAGAAATTGAATAGTCGAGTCTTCTAACGGTACTCGAGTAGTCAAGTGTTCGGGTACTACTCAAATATTTGAAGTGTTCGAATACGAACAATAAGGTATTCGGATACCACTAGAATATTCGAACATTTGAATAGCTTTCGAATGCGTGACTTAAGAGTCCTGTTTGAATACTCGAGTATACGAATATTCTGTGCATTGACAAAGTATTCTTTACGTACAACCAGAACATGTAATTTACATATTAAATAAAGTTATTCTTTATTTTAATATTTCATTGTATAGAGGTGATTACACTGTAAAGGATTTCCTGTAGCGTGCCAATCTTAAATCGTAAATCGTAAAAAGAAAATTCTCAAACACCACAAAAATGTTTGGTGCTCCAGGCGCGTGTATCTCTTAAAGATGGATTAAATCGTGGGTCATCCTCGAAGAGGTCCAAAGTGTTTCCTGTCGGCCGACTGCGCGAAAGCACGACTGTTCAATAGTTATTTATCAACAATTCGCGATTGCGAAGGTGATCGTATGTGGAACAACGGAGAGAGCAAAATCAAAGCTCGGAACACGTAGAAATCTTTATTGTCGTGTCTGACCTTCGGTAGGCATATGCTGTTGCGTAAATGGGCGGTCGAACTATACGTACTCGTAGTTATGTATCTATTAGCCACACCGCGCAAGTCACTTTAAATATCCACGTCTCGCGTCAGGTTGCGCGAATTATGCAAGTTCGCGACGTCGTGGTTTTCGCTGAGCATTTAACAGATTTAACCCTTTGCGACCTGGCGTTATCATCCTACGCGTCGAGCGAATAGAACCGAAAGTAAGAACCATCGTTTGGCGACCCATTTCAATCCACACGTGGACATGGATGAAGTACTTATTTTAATAAAATATCCGATAAAGGGAATAATGAATAAGTGTATTTGTTTAACGAGTAAAGATTGAGTGTATTTATTCGATGAATGAAGATATTATATTTATTCAGCTTCAGCTTCGAATAATGTTTTCGCACCTCCTCGTATCTTTATTCGAAGGATTCGAATAAATCCCGTAATTCCTAACAAAGTGTCGCTATTCTCGTAAATTAATTTAAACTGCGTCGAGTGTAACAAAGGTCGCAAAGGATTAATCGAAAGCAACGGTTCGAACGATACTGTTCGGATATATTTTGTGTCTTTTATGCGAGCTGCTTTTCAAATTAGGCGCCACGCGTGGATCGAGCAACTACTTACCCTCTCGAAACGGGTACTTTTGTATCTTAAGTAGATTTGTATTTATTCATTGGGACCCTGCCAACAAGTAAATGAGTTCTATCTAGTCAGTCTTCGAAAGTTAGTATTAATTGGAAGTTATCTCATCTACGAAAAAAGATTCATTTTGTACATTTATTCATTTATTTATTATCACGGTTCCAATTCTAGCTTTGAAACTGGACTTTGATGTACAAAGGGTTGGAAGACATTCTCGATAGCGCAACGCTATAGATCGATCGAGGTGGGCAGAATAATTTTATTCGAACAGTAAATAACGAATAAAAGCTCTGTACAGCAATTTATTCGCAACTTTATTTATACGTTCAAACCGAAATATACTTCGCACGTACAATTAAAACTCTAATTTGGATCGAACAAACAACGAACCGAAAGCCGTTTATCTTTCATTCGTTATTCGAGATCCTTTATTTAGACGCGAATTTCGCCCACCTCGGCTCGAAGTTCTCGAAGCCGGCGATAATCGCGGCAGAAAATTCCTGAAAAGACGCGAGATGACGTAACGCACACGTTTTAAATGTACTCGATGTGTAAATGTCGCATGTTCCTGACTACGACCATTAACTTTATCGCACTCTCTCTTTTTCGTCCCTTTCCCCCAAGCTCCCTTTTACGACTATACTTCGACATTTATACAGAAGGCCCCGTGTCTACTCTGGGGCCTCGTAAACTATCGCTACGAGCATTCCACTACTAATAATTAATATTACTACTTAAAGTAACTTATCGCTCGCCACTATTTATTACGACGTCCTAAGAGTTCACTTATTTCGCGAAATCGTCGTCACTATGATATATATATATATATATATGTCCCGGTATTCGTTATTCGTTGGATGTCTTTTTACGATATTAATGGAGGAACAGGGTAGGCTAGCGCTGCACACTTTTTCGCTATCGCTGTACAATTTGGAAAAAAAGAAAATGCCTCGTGTTTCCCACGCCGATGTTACTCCTCTTTCGTCCCTCCTTCTACGAGGGCTCTACGCACGGATAAAAAAAAAAAGAAGGAAAAAAAAAGAAAAAAGTAAATGGCGGGGGAGAGCTTTTTTCGATGCACGTCCTCTGATTCTCGATCTCGCCGACAACCCCCTGAACGCAACCGAAGACCTCATCGAGAGACAGTTCCAGTCACTGTAAATATCTCTAGCGAATAATAGTGGTGCGCCGAGTGAGTTGATTTGTGCAGATTCTATTATTTCCTACGACGATTTACGGCATTATTTTTCAACGGAAAGTGAAATATACGTGTTAAAAAAAGGAAACGATACGTGTGATGGTGCTTTCTCATCCCCGTCCCCGGCGTATCGTCGAATAATGGTATTCAAATAGCAATACTCGAGTAACGATATTTGGATAGTAATGTTAAATTAACGATATTTTTATAGGAATATTCGTATACCGTTGCACTAATACTACCATTCAGGTATCCAAGCATCCTCGTAAAGGAATCGACTACCGAATAATTCGAACGGCGGCAACCGTGCCCCACGCGAGGCAGACGTGGCGCGTAACAAACGTCGAAAGAAATAATTATTTCGAGCGTGCTATCGTTCTGTCCCTGCGCTGTAGATCTGCGCGGCGATCGGTGTTCTCCAAAGAGCGCGAAGGTACCGTACGGGCAGAGTCGGCGTTGGTAGGAGACCCTTTCTAAAATCGCGGGAGTCGGCCGGAAGCGGTACGAGAGGGCCCAGAAGGTGAAACGAGGAGCGACCAACCGATGGTGGGGGATTAGCGGGAAAAGGACAGAACCAGAGAACACGAACGAGAAAAAGGAGGGCCAGACCGCTGGCTAAATGGTGGGGTACGCACTATTTCCTAATCCAAGCGAGAGAGAAGCGGGAGAGCCGAGCCAACCGACCAACGAAAATGAAAGTGACGGAGAAAGTTGGGGCATTGTTACGAAGCGTAAAGCCCGGCGTGCGACGACGTTGTACACCGCGGCTCTGAAACGATCCTTGGTTTTCGATTACGCGTGGGCACCGCGTACGCGAGGTGTGTCGGCTAAATAATGATGTCAAATTTTTTTCAACACACCCTTCGATTAAGGGCTAACGCCATCTCGATTGCTTTTTTCTCTGTTCAGGTCGGATAGGTTGATAACGAACAGGATCCTTCGTGATAAGAACGAATATTATATTATATTTTTGTTTACATTGGTTTAAAATGAATTACGTACTTTTCGTTACACCTGAACCAATATTAAATTCACTTGCTCACTGTTACACATTGATAGCAACACCTCATTTGAACGTTTATTTTGATCATTCTGTTTCGCTACCCGCTCGGGAGTTTTTGCGGCTACCCATTTGTACGTCTCTTACTCCTGGGCCTCAAGAAATATGGCTCACTGACGGGGGGCCCCCACATGTCTCCCGTTGAGAATCACTCAACTTGTTCCAGATTGATATTCTACTTTCAACGCTGAGTAGGACCTACACGAATTTCTTAAAATATTCCAAAACTGACGAAATGGCGCGTTATCATCAAAGAACCGAAAGAGCCAGAGAGCGCGTAAAAAAGGCGCGAAAAAGTGCGCGAGAGAGAGAGAATTTCTACTCGACGCCAGAATTTCTCGCTCGGAGGTTTCGCAACGGAAGCTGGCGGGACAGCAAGTGGTTGATAATTTAGAAATCTATGGACATTGGACGTCCTTGAAGAAGGCCCTTACACGAAAATGGCGGATAAATCAGAGCGGGGGATGCGAGATGCGTCAGAAAAGTGACGAGGAGACGGCAAATTTGATTTAAAGTATAAGAATATTAAAAACATATTCAGTATGCAAACTAAAAAATATATATATATATATATATATATATATATATATATATATGTACACTTTATAAATATTACATACATATTTAATATAATATAAAATTGAATAAATAAACAAATTTTGATTTAGTATAGCAAACATCTAGAAACACTTTGATTTAATTTACATGTGGTACAAATGCGTATAATATACATTAAAGTGCGAGAAATAATTTTATTCGACCAATAGATGACGAATAAAGCCTCTCAGCAATTTATTCCCAATGTTTATTCGATTAGGATCTCGGCTGCAATAGCAATCCCGCGAGTTATTATCTGATTTTCACGTCGAGTCTATCGTTACCAAAAACGTCTTACGAATATTTGGCAGGGTGAAAGCCCCAAGATCCCCCCCCCCCCGCCTCCTCCTCCTCCTCCCCCCGTGTTAGTTACGCCATTCACCATGGATCATTGGTATTACGATATCTCGAAACTTTCTCTTCGGCTTAATAAATCGTAATAGATTATTAACCGCTATTGTGACGGAAAAATGACTACTGTCCATGGGACAAATTGATTATTTCACGTTATCTACGACGAACAATTCTCCAACGATCGCTGATGTCAGACGTCGTTACGTAATTAGAAATTGTTTCAATACCGATCAACCTCCGCTCTAACGATATATGGGGCATTATAATGGAAACCGATATATCCAGATTTCAATTGGATGTACTATTGAAAAATATATGTATCATATGTTCCTTGTGTATGAAAAAAGGACATTTGACTATTTACCATGAAACATACAGAATACAATGGAATTATTAATGATGATTGGATAGTCACTACCACCCAGAAATGGACAAGATTCCTTATCTAGACAAGAGAAATTTGTGTACAAGTTTTAACAAATCATTCTTCTCTTATACATACGATACTTGAAAATTGTTTCGAAGTACTACTATTCGATACTATATTACTGTTTTTTCTAAAATCGTATGATCCCGCAAACGAAACTCGTCAAAGTATCGATAAGGAAAAAGCTGCTCCTCGGCTCCGTCAAGGACCACCCGGACGCGCGTGTCTATGAAAGAATGAAATGATCCTCGAGGCGATCGAACCGTGAAAAATGCCATTACGCTTTTTCGCGGCTAAGATGTAACAAAGTAAGAAAGGTTTCTTCTCTCGTTACTTAATTTCCGTTTTTGCCCCGCGTCGCAATCGTTCGTTGCGACAAGGTTGCCCGCGCGGGCCCACAATGGGACACCGGCGTTCGAAAAAGAGAGGATAGACGAAGAAAAGAAAAAAAAAAAAAGAAGCGAAACACACGTCTCGTAGGCGTGTAATCAACGGCGTTAGTGCTCGGGCAGCGATGGTAAAGGCCTACTGACATAAGAGGCATCGACGAAAGTGCGACGTTACATCATTCGGGCACGGGACATGCGTCCTCGCGTCCGGTTGGGTAGGGAACGAATTGCCCCCACGGTCGTAGGTAAAAAAAAAAAGGATGGAAACCATCGCAAGAAGCTAATTACATTGTTTTACGGTGCGGGAGAAACGTCACTTTCGAGCTGGCCGATTCGACTTTTTACGAGTCCCCAGCTCGTACGAGAAATCGATTTTCTTCCCCGTCGGGGGAGACGTGCGATCCAATCCTGAAAAATGCAATTCACATCGGTTTCGAGCCTTTGGATTTTTATTTTCAACGCTGCTTCGCTTCTGCACGGTGTACTCGAAGTGGTAATCGTTCGAGGTATATCGAATCCATGAACCAATTAGTTTGGGCACCGTGGGATCGCTACAGCCCCTCAGGGCTTGTCAACTGTCAACTTTGGTTTACACCATAACTTGTCGACTGTCAACTGTCACAATTGCCACCTGTCAACATTTCGCTGCTAACTACCACCTACCAATCACCACATTCTAACATCTCTTATAATAATTTACCCTGTGTAATTGTTCTCACTTCTTGTTGGTTCAGTTATCTCAATAATTGCACAAACACCTCCAGCCCTGATTTAGCCTAATTAGCCGGTCGTCTACTTTACACCAGTGTCATAATTTGAGATATCAGAAAAAATGTATCTTCTTAAATTAGTCACGCGGATTACCCACACTGATAACTGGACGAGGAAACGCGACGAGTCGCTTTGGCAGTCATTCACATTCGCGCGTTGGCTTCGTTGTTGCGTTGGATTAACGGTCAAATATTTAAACAACAGGTCGAAAGGTCTACCGAGCCGTTCAGCCGTGTGTAATAAATCATTCCATTATCTGCTTAGAAAGTCCATTTGTTCGACTACGAGATGCTGGCATCGTTTTGAAATTTCTGGTCTAGAATTAAGGTTGGGCCACATGTTATTTGACAAGATTGCCTAATTCAGACCGAAACTAGTTGGCTGCATTTGAACCGGTTAGCTGTCGACTATGGGAACGTCGGTTAAAATAGAAATTAATTTTTTGTAGATCTTTCTTAGATGCCTCGATGAGTAAACGATTTGATCAACTATACACAATGTACTGAATGGTCTAGGCTAGCGTACCTCTGCTCTAATGACACCAGTCCACAATATTTACTCCGGTATTTAAAAAAATTCACTTACTTGACGACATATTTAATGACCAGTTTATTTCTCCACGAAATGTATAATTATCCACGCACGATTATAAGTAAGCGATTTAAAGTGCAATTGTTTTCTTACTTCAGGAATTTTCCTGGTATATTGCGATAAAGATAAAAAATCAAACGCTGCCATAAAAGTCATCGAGGAGAAGTCATAGAAGGAATAGGTGCAATTCTTCTGCCTAGACAAGCTTCCGTGTTGGAGGTTGAAGAACCGACCGTCGATTCCCTGACAAAACTCTTTGTTTCTTGCGTGTTCATCTTAAATAGCAATTATCGTGCTTTCCAGTTAGACCGGGTAAAACAATCGACCCTCCCGGGCTACATAAACCAACGAGCATGAGCCGACCGGTCCTTATTCGGACAAGGAAAAACTGGTCCCACGAGCGGCGAACCGGAGATCGGAACCGCGATGAACAAACTCAGAAAAGGAATAATGCGAACGAACGTTTTGTCGTCCTGATAGCCAGAAAGATTAAACTGAAATTGACGAGGAGTCGCCCTTTCACTGCATCCGTTGTCGTGGAATACGAATTACATGGTTCCTCCTGTGGGGTCTGCGAGTCTATCTTTGATGTTCGTTTAGGTTCAAGAAATGATGAAATGTATAATTATACTGTAAGGAATGTGGACGGATTTTTGAACGAAGGGCGAGTAAAGTTTCGAGTAGTCAGGTATTCAATTAATATCGCAAGACACTCGAGCTATGTCGCAAAGTGTACAGAAATGAGTTGAATATTTCCAACGGTTGATACAATTATCGCGGTGTAATAATAAGGAAAGAGGATCGAAAGCGTAACAAAGATTCATCATTGGCTTTGTTTCTGTCAGCGACTCGACAGAGAAAAAGTGAAAAGCCGTTTCACACGTAGATGGCAACACACCTGGAC